AGGTAAATTGTTGCGGCCGGAGCTGGTTGTAACCCGAAAAGTTCGTTAACAGAGGCGTTCGTAACCCGAGGTACCACTGTACATAGATCAAGGTTGATTGATTACAACTCTTTATATTTAGAAGATTCAGTTCATACAAAAGTATTAAATTGGCCTACCTGAAGATATTCACAGCATATAAAGTTGCTCCTATTACAACATGCTTAAGGCTATTCATGAATGTATGCCTTCAACTATCTATTTACCTGTCTTTTATTTATTAGGGCTTATATACCATTCTAATCCAACAGGACTCTGAGCAACTTACATTTGCTTCCTGTGGTTAGCGTTAAAATATAAAAATAGTATCATAAAATGGTGAGAACAAAACATCCAGCTACAGCTCTGGGTGGAGGTTCCAGCTTATACTAGTTGCCCTCCTAGGGCTTTCTTAAAAAATCAGGTTTTAGCAGCTCTCTTAAAACATCAAGGTGATCACATTCAAATGTCTTTTGATTTTTCCAGTCCAATTAAATAGTTAAATCCATTTTTTAAAAAAATAATGAACTGCATAAGGAAATGAAACTTGCTTAACCCAAAATGCTTCCTATAGGATAGGCTCTAAACATTTGAATAGATATAATGGTTGGCAAATGGAAGAGGACTGTGGAAAATTTATATCCAAACATTATCAAGTAAAAAACAATTTGTGCAATGCCTTTTGTCCCCTCTACAATTTTGGAAAAGACCAGAGTCGTAGAGCATATATTTTGCTTGTGAAGGGTCCCTTGTGCAGTCTCTGGCATTTCATGGAGCAACAGGGGAATCTTACTGAAACTTGGAAAGGCTATTGTCAATTGGTGTGATGAATTGACAGTCTAAGATAGCTTCCTATATTCTACTGCACCTTCCCACCACCAAAAGAATCTACTAGAAGCCTAAGATATGACGCATGAGATAGTGGGTGGGGTGAATTGGAGAAAATGTTATGGCAACTTGCATGTGTGGGAAACAGCATCTGCTCACTTCTTTCTGGTGACTTCTTCACATTGCAGCCCCCATACTGCTTCCTTCTTTTTCCTGAAGGTTCCTTGATAGAAGCTTTCAGGAAATACAGGGTTCTGCTTTGGGGAGAAATAAATAGAAAAGTCCTGCTGAACAAAAGACCTGTGCTCATGTGAATTTTCTTGTGGACAAAAAAAATAGGCCTTTTTTTCCAGTTTTAAATTGATATGTTGCATCTTATTCAGATTAAGTATTTTATTAAACAGTGAAGCCAAAGAATGGAGAGGAAACTTATCTTACGGTACACTATTTCCATCATGCTCTTTGTCCTCAGGGAGTTCATTTATGGGATTTGCAAGACAGAGTTTTAGTGAGAAAGTACCAAGGTGTTACACAAGGGTTTTACACAATTCATTCATGTTTTGGAGGCCATAATGAAGACTTCATCGCTAGTGGCAGTGAAGGTAATATTTTTTAAGAAATATCAATTTCTCTCTCCCTTTCCCTTTCTCTTTCCCTTTCCCTCTCTCTCCCTCTCCCTCTCCCTCTCCCTCTCCCTCTCCTTCTCCCTTTCTCTCTCTCTCTCTCTCTCTCAAGTTCAAGCACAAACTTTCCGAGTAAGTGAATATTATAGTTTTCTCACTTTCTGTCTTTTAATAAGCATAGTGGGTGTGCTTTATGTTTTCACAAATGGTGGTAATTAAATATTCATTGGAAAAAAGTTTGTACTTCAGAGAACAATGGAATGCACAAGTAGAATATTTTATACCTTTTCTGATAGTGATGTCTGTAATTTTGATATGAGTTGTACAGTACTGAGTATTGTTGCTCAAGTAGTTCTCTGAGGTACTAGCATTTATTTGCTATAGATATGTTTTCTAAAGGTAGGTGTGGGTATGTAAATCCATCTGTCACCTCAGTTATAATCAATTATGGTAAGAGAAGTGTCTCCTATACTGCAGCAGATCTATTATATTCAGTATCTTCCGTTGTGAGCAACTTAAAACAAACACGGTTGTCTTTTAGCAGGTTCTCTTGTCAATTGTGTGAGTAGCTTGTTCCTCAGAACTTCTTGGCATTAAGGGTGCTGATTCACTCTCAGGTTCTTGCTCTGTATTGGTAGTAGAAGTGTAGCTAATACAGAGTGGGCAACAATACTCCTGTGCCCCAAAAACTTCAGGAAGATGTGGTTTTGGTCTGAACAGGAGTGCAGTCATAGGTTGACTCAATATAGTATCTTGAAGCATTATTTGTCTTTAACTGGTGAAATGCTCAACTGAGAACAGCACCTTTATTGGACCTTATATTAATAATTTGCCATTGTAAATATTTGTCAGTCCTTATATGCATGCATTTTTAACTCCCTTCCCCTTCCAAACAGTCTCTGGCCCAGAAATATCTGTCAGCTCTATTGACTTTTGGTGTATAAATTAATTCATACACCACTTAGGACAGCATGGGCAAGTCACCTAGCTACAGCCTACTGTTTGTTTGACATGAATGTGCCGATTAACTTATCCAGGTCAACTTAGAACAGCTTTTTATTTTTTTCATTTTCAGTGTCTAAAAACTACCCAGCTGTAGTTGAAGCTGATGGCACCTTATTTAGATTCGGACTGCCTGAGGCTGTTGCCTCTTTGCACTGAATTGTTGCAAATATGGCTGCTGTGAAAGTCTCTATGTACAAAAAAAGTAACAGATTTAAATGTCATAACCTCTTAAATGTAAAGGTATGTTTTCAGCTAGGTAGGCATTTCACCTACCAGCCCCAAACATCAAATGGTCTGCCCTGGGAGTAAAGTTCACATCTGATTCTGTAAATAAGCATAAAGTACCATAAAAACTCTCATGGGAGTAAGTGCTGAGTGTTGTTGCCTTAAGATGAATACTGAACTTTGAAGCTATGCAGATAATGTGTCATAGTTTAAAACTGGGAGATTAAACATAAAAATATAAACAGGAGTGTTTAATGTAATTTAGATGTCATGGCACTGATTTTTAAAAATCTTATATGAGCTGATTTAGCTAGTAAGTACTTCTGTCAGATAATGTGGCATGTAAGTAGAAAGATTTGTAATGTTTGGGAAGAGACTAAAATATTTTGGATCCTTTATCATTGTCTGAATTTATTGTCAAAGAATATGTTTTTAACACTTTTGTACATCTTAAAGTTTTTCTTATGGTGCTTCTGTTTCATCAGATATTTAAATAAAGCCACAAACTTATTTTAGTCCTTAGCAAAAAATCTAATTAATGGCAATTACTGTGATACGTGTTTTTTTTTTAACAATGAAGATGATTGCACATTTAAGATTGCACCAGCCTTGTGCTATGATCATTTGATGTGACAGGATTAACAGTGGCACAGAATTTTCCATTCATATTGTTCAGTTATGTAGACTTTTTACGTGAATATTATAGAATGCACCAACACAGTTATAGCTGTAAATTGCAACTTGATTGTGTTGTGAACTTCCTTCAACCAGTGAAATAGGTTGCTTATTGGCTTAAAATATATTTAGAGAAATTGTTTTTATATTGGGCATGATATTTAAAGACAAGCAAGAACTATCTGAATATAACTTCCTCTTACTCTGCATGTGGGCTGGCATTGCCTGTTTTCTCTGCTGTCTTTTTCATGTAGCAGTAAGTTCCTGAATAGGTATATCTCACAGTTAATTCAGTGTAAGATGGCTCGCTTAAAGTCATAAATAAAGAATCATGTTTAAAAGAATTTTATTGCATTATCCAAGCACAGGAGTCCTTTATTCAAAAGGCAGAGAGTTCTCTTGGGAGGTCCCCATACCTCTCATTAAAATTGTCAAATTCAAAAATGAGAATCTAGAGCTTGATTTCAGTCTTGCACATAAATGTATTATGAGAAGAAATTAACACTCAGACAGACTCCTAATTAGATAATATAAACTCTGCCTATATACTTAATTCTGTACAAATATCTCCATTTTGGAAAAAAAATCAGTACATGCTGTTAGTTTAAATATGGAATTTTAAAGGCCTTCTTGAAACTGTTGGATGAACCATTCAGCAGATCTCAGTTCTGGGGTATGCATGGAATTTTTAACATGGAAACACTCTCCATATATGGATCGTTGTCATATTGATTATAGAACATATTTTAAATTTTAGGATGGTTCTCATGTTTTTTCAAACCTATCTATCTTAGATCATAAAGTATATATTTGGCACAAACGTAGTGAGCTGCCAATTGCGGAACTGACGGGGCATACACGTACAGTCAACTGCGTGAGCTGGAACCCACAAATTCCATCCATGATGGCCAGCGCCTCTGACGATGGCACTGTTAGAATATGGGGACCATCACCTTTTGTAGACAACCAGGATATTGAAGGTAAAAAAATAAACTAATTTTATGAAAGAGAAAGCTTTTAAGATTCAATTATTTTATATTTATTTTTTCTTGTTATTATATTTAAATACTGTCATTTGCAAAGTTCAAGGTTATAGGCATAGTTTCAGTTTAATCATACAGTGAAAGGTTTGAATAGCCTTAGTCTAGTCCAACGTTCTGTCCAATGTAGGAATCCACTCTTACAGTATCCCCAAAAGATGGCTACCTAGCCTTGGTTTAACTGCCTCCAGCAAAGCATTCTGCTAGTATTGTAAAATGTAAGGTTTGGGAGGGACATTAGACAGGGTAAGGAGGAATTCAACAGTGGGTTAAATCCAACATCCCAGAAAAAGAAGGATCATATGATTTAAATTTCTTCAGTCCTTTCAAAGATGGTACACAAATAGCTTAGGTCTCATCCACGTCTTAAAAAAAAATAATAAGAGAAGATTACTGCTCAGAGGGCTAGTATTAAATCATTCTAATGGATATGGAAGTAAAGCAATGTCTAACAGATCTAATTCCATTTTTCCTTAAGCCTTCTCATGCCTTTGAGGGGACTTTCCTTGACTGGATATATACAGAGTGGTTGGGACCTACATTCAGTATTCAGGGCTTTAATACCTATATTTTTTCTCCTGCCCCTTCTTGGAGGAACAGCTGGAACCACTGTTCAGAGCCAGATGGATCTAGATCTACATAGCTTATATATCACATTTGACAAAGTCATTCCACATCCCAGTTCATATTACTACAGCAGTGACCACATCCAATGCCTATTTCAATGGTGCATTTCACAATATGGCTCAAACATTAAGGAAATGTTGGACGTGGAATATGAATGTTTGTTCTGGCTTGCTATCATAGAGAAACCAACAATATTTTGGATTACTCATTTGGTCCAGGTCTAGTTTTGGTTGATACTGCACTACAATTTGTGCTAGTCTTAATTGATTTACTTCTCTTAAAATAAACTTCCCAGATTAAGCTCTATGTCATGGGACTAGAAAGTAATCTTGCTGCTTAATGCATGATCTGTTCAGCACTGGGAGTTAGCAATCATTGGATGTACCTGTCACATCAAACTAGATGGGAATGTCACATTTAAATTGAGATCACATTCAAGATCTCCCAGTTGGATTGACTGCTGTGGAGGTTTGAATCTTGTCTCTCTGGTATTAATTCAACATAAACTACTGAGGATAGGCTAGATTTTGCTTTCATTATGAATGTAACAGTTGGGTTATGAAGCTGCATTAGAAATAGGAGTCAGTGAAATCCAGTAGCTTGAGATTCAAGTGTAAGACCACATTTTAAAAAATCTCAAGCTCCTTTTAAAAATCCCAAAGGCTCAAGTACTACATGTTTGCACAGCTGATAGACTGGTTATACTCCATTTCAGATGGATTGAAGTATTGGTTCCAAGGTACATGTGTGGTGTAGAATAGAAAATGCTGGCTGTTTATGGTAGAAAAGTGATAGGTGAAAATGATGTTTGTACAATTTATCTATTAGTTACTGTAATACATTCTTAACAATTTTATATTGCAGGGGTTCTCAAACTGTGGATGAACAAATTTAAGGGGGGTTGCAGCCATCAGAGTTGGAATTTAAATTGGCTTTCAGCTCTTGGCCAGAGGCCATTCTCTCAGCCTTCAGCCACAAAGATGGTGCTGGATTGCTCCACTGGCACTGCTTCTGCCTCCTTCCTTGTCCTTGATTGAGCTGGATTAAAAATAGCCTTGACAGTATCACCCAGAAAAGTTTGGCAGGGAAGCTGAGCCCATCTTGGTCTGAAAATGAGGCTTCTCATATTTGCATGCCCAGGTTATCCACCTTGCCCAAATATGCATGAATATTTATGCATTCTAAAGATACTGGTAGTCCTCTTTTAGTGACCACAGTTGGGAGTGGCAACTTGATTGTTAAGTGAAGCGGTTGCTAAGTGAAACCTCAGCCATGCTTGCTATCTTACTTAAGCTTTCCTTTGCTTTATGGACCTGCTAATGTCACAAATGCGAGAATTGGTCACAAAGTTACTTTTTCATTATTGTTGTAACTGTAAACGGTTGCTAAATGAGGTGGTCACTAAGCATGGACTACCTGTAATGAGTAAATTCATCTTTTTTTCCCTCCATTGCCCCTTGTATCATCATTTTTTATATTATTAGCAACATTATTATCATAATCCACATACTTTCCAAACAGGCAATGAAGTAAATACATTTTTGTGTCTGTGTAAACACTTCTGCCCATCCCAGCTGTCCCATCTGTACTTTGGTACTGCTTTCACATTAGTATCCATGCTAGATAGTCACCTCATAGCCAGAGTCATTGATAAGTGGGCAGCCTTCAAAATTGATTTAATAAACAAAATTTTCTCCCAACTCTGCTGCCTCTCAAATAGCAGCCTTTCTCAT